GGGGAGGAGGGGGCGAGGGGCCAGCCGGCCACGGAGTAGGGCAAGAGGGGAGAGGGATGCCAGCCTTAGTGGTCCCGGCTCTGCAGTGTGGGCTAGCGTCCCTCTCCCCACGGGGCTGGTGGGTGGCATGTGAACCTGGAGCAGCAGGGATGGGCCACAGGCACTTTCCGGGAGTCATCGTCCCCGTCCCCCCACCCCCCCCCACCCTTAAATTCCAGGCTGGGTGGAAGAGGGGGGGTGTTCCAGCCCCAGGCAGAGGCACAGAGGAGCCTGGACAAGGCAGGTTGGAGCTGGACAGGCTCCTCCTCAGCTGGAGGGCAGAGGGAAACAGCCCAGGCCCACAAGGACCCTGGGACCTGCAGGGGCAGCAGCTCTGAGAAGGGGAAGGCAGGGGACACCAAGCACAGCATGACCCTAGGGCTGGGGCCCCGGAGACATGCGGGACTGGTGTCCCCTTCCCTCTGCAGCAGGGTCCACCAGCAGCTCCCAGGACAGCACTCCCCAACTGGTCCTTGACCCGACTGCTCCGTTCGCCGGCTGGGGGACACAGATTGCAACCTGGGAGGAAAGGAGCAGTGTTAGCATGCCGCTAGGCAGCGGCTCCCCTCCCTACCACCCCCCTGCCCTCCCTGGGTCTCGCTCACCTCAGAGCCGGTGGCTCAGGCCAGCCACCTTGGCAGGGTGAGTCACCGACCAGAAGTTGCGCTTGCTCTGCAGCTCCTGGAAGGAATTGAAGCGTCTCCTCCGTTCCTGCTTCAGTTTAATCTTCTTTACCTGTGCAGAGGCAGGAAGGCTCTTGGGGTCAGAGCAGAGTCCCCTGCCTCCTCCCACCCACCCCAGCCTGGGACATAGCCAGCACCCACCTTCCCTCTGTCAAAATCCTCGTCCCACTCATCGATGACAGTCTCGCTCCGGGCCCACACTGCGTCTTGAATGGCATCCTGGCTGACAGCTGAGATCTTGCCTTCCCAGGTCAAGACTGCGGAGTAGTGTGATCAGCAGGGAGCACCATGCTGTGCTCCGCTGCACCCACCTGCACCGGATCCCCACCCTGGGCCAGCAGCTGGAGCCCCTCACTCCAGCACCCCGCTCTGTGGTGCCCGCAGCAGCCCCTTGGCTGGGTGCATCTGCCTGGCTCCAGGAGCCTCTGTAGCTGCCTGTGCTGGGGGAAGCTCAGGCCCTGGCAGAGCACACAGGGCTCTGCCCGCATCCAGGGCTCAAGACAAGCTGCCTGGCTGTTTGCCCACCCAGGTGAGCACAGATTACCTTGTTTGCCATAAGCCTTGTCCAAGGAGTTCCCAAGCAGCTCCTCCACCACGTTGGACTCCTTCTGGCTCCCAGGTGCTATGCCAGTCCCATGGCCGGTCTCAGGGCTTAGGGGAGCCAGGCAATGCCTGTACTCTTCTCCAGCCTGGCTGGACGCTGCCACTGCGGAAACAGGCAGGGGTAAGGACAAGCTGAAGGGAACAGAGGGAGCTCCTGTGTCACTCCATCTCCAGGGCACGTCTCAACCCAGGAGACACTGTCAGGATTAACAAGATCCCGATGTTTGGGACGCTGGGTGTTTGGGTACACTGGGGCCTGCCCTGGGCAGGGAGGAGCTGAGGGTAAATCTTCAGCCCTTGAGGGGTCCATCTCCACACATCTGAAGATGAGCACACCCTCATCCAGGGTACAACCAGGCAGCTCTCCCGCATGAGTGGCACGTGGGCCTGCGGGCAGGTCAGCCACGGACAGGGGTCAGGAAGACGGGCACCACCAGGCAGTTGTGGGGACCAGCAAACACCGGGGACTGCACACCAGTGCTCGGAGGGACTTCATGGGGAGCCAAGCAGCCGTCTCTTCCCTGCCAGGCACCAGGCAGGGTGGAGGCACACAGTCATACCTGGGGTGCCATTTGTGGCATAGACACTGTTGGCAGCTGGCTGCTCCAAGGCTGGGCTGCTGAGGCTTTCCCTCCACTTGCGCTTGCGGTGCTCGCTCTCTCCAGCACCAGCCTCCACACTCCACCGCTGCTTTTTCCTCGAGGGCTCCGTCTCAGCCCTCCTAGAGCTGGGGAAGACAGCAGGGGTCAGCCCGCTCTAGCCTGACCAGAGGGGGAATCTTGAGCTCCCCGCAGGGCGGTGCGACACAGGGACACCCACACCCCAGTGCTGTGCTCGGGGAGGGGAGAAACGACCCCCAGCAAGCCAGCACTTCAGCTGGCTCCATGGCAAGGCTCATCCCACCCGCAGAAAGACAAGAGGCACCTGACCACAGCCCAGGGAGCCTGACTCCTGGCAGTGCAAGGTTCTCTCACGTGACCCTAGCTCCTCACCTGTCCGAGGACAGCATCCCAGGGCAGTGCTCTTCTGTCTCCTCCATTCTCCTCCTCTTCTTCTTTTTCTTCTTCTTGCAGAGGTAGATGGATTCCTTGTCCAGGGAAGCACTGGGGTCTGACACCTGTGGCTTGGGCCGGCTCTCCAGGTTCCAAGAGCCCAGCCCCTCCTGGCCACTGCTGGGACTCTTGCCTGCCGCCTCCTTCCCCACGAGGGATGCCAAGCCCTCCTGAATGAGTTTCTTCTCCTTCGTGGGGGGGTTGGAGACTTCATCCTTGCCCTTCACAGCTAGAGCACGAGAGCTGCCGACTGCTCCACGATGCTGCTTTTGCTGCTTCTTTTTGGAGGAACCAGGGGTGCCCTTCTCCCTGCTGCATGAAGGAAGGTAGTGTGAAGGGTGGGCAGTGGAACCGTTGGTCAGGGGGAAGGCTGGGAGCCAAGGGGCTGAGCTGAGGATGAAGCTGAAGGTAGGCTTTTCAGGATTTGGCATTTTGAGAGCAGATGAGGACAGCCTGAAGGACAGGAAAAGAGGCTGACGTGATCTGAAAGCCAGGTCAGGAGTGGGAGCTCCTCTCTTCTTCCCCACTCCAAGGTGCATGAGCACAGCACCCAACTGCTACAATCTCATCCACGAAATCTGAATCGGACCCTGCTCTCAGAGCAGCAGCTGCAAGCGCACACAGTGACGCTGCACCTGCCCAGTGCCAGCAACGCGCAGGGCACACACTGTCCCACGGGGGATTAGGAGAGAGTGAGTGTTGGTGCAGCACATGCCAATGGTGAAGGTTACAAGGGAGACCTGGAGCAAGATCTACACCAGGCTAGTGCCTCCTGATCCCACAGGACACTAACAAGTGGTCAGAGCTTGCAAAGCTCCCTCCCACCCTGTGCCAACAGTCAGAGAAACTGCCTTGCTTCTAGGATCCAGAGCAAGCCCTGCCAGCCCAGGAGAACCAGCTGCCAAAAATCGCTCCTCAAGCCAGCTGTGACGCCAGCTGCTTCACGGAGTACTCCAAGGCTGCTACTGGCCTTGCTGCTGCACAGGAGCCTGGGAGCAACCAGCACTGCTTACCTTGACTTGCTGAAAGGCTGGGGAGTGGACTCAGAGTGGGTGGTGTTCGTGGGGCAGGTGCGGTCAGCAAACTGTGGGTGAGGTTGTGTGTGGCGGTCACTTCCGCTCGCCTTCCGCGGGGTGCTGCCCTGCAGTTATTGACATAAATAAAAGCTTGGTGGTCTAAAGAAAAGAGGTTTCCGTGAGCCAAGAGGAGAAAATAAAAAGGGGAGCCCAGAGAAAGGGGAGGGGAACAGACACAGACAGGGGGAGGGAAGTGAGGGGTGGTAGAAGAAGAATCATAAGTGGTTTTAGTTAGAAGCACAAAGGAAAAAAGGAAGGAAGGAAATTTAAAGAACGGAAGCCCCAGTGCACTGTCCCAAGCCCTGGCTGCCCAGCAGCACCCAGAGGGCCGGTCCCACACCACTGCCCAGGAAGGAGGCAACTCCGCAGCCCTCCAGTTGCGGCATCACCTGCTCCCACTCGCCCCAGGGGACACGCTACCCCGAGAATGCTGGGGAGACCACCCCGCCGCCGGGACTGGCACAGCCACCCCTCCCTCCTGAGAAAGAAGGCAGGAGCCATTTCTCCTGCATCACTCAGGGATGCAAACAACAGCAGCGGCCTGGGCCCACACCCTGACCCAGAGCGGGAGCAGAGCAACTGCTACAGCCCTGGGGCTGAGGGGCTCTCCCCACCCACCTCCAGCTTAGCAAGACACCCAGCATTAGCTCTATACTTGCCCCCGACACAAGCCCCAGTTGAGAAGGCACAAAGATGCCTACCGAAGACTCCGGGCAGAAGCTCAGACTCACCTTTTTGGCAGAGAGTGCCAGCTTCTTGGCTGGTGGTGGTGACACAGTGCTGCCTGGCTCCAGAGCAGCGTTGGCCAACAGGGAGGATTTAGGTTTTGCCAACTTGGAGTCTTTGGAGGCAGCCAGCTCGGTGCCAGGGCCAGCAGGGAGGTCCGTGCCACAGTCCGTTTCCTGAGAGGTACAGAAGCTGCTGGTTTTGCTCTTGGCCTTCTGGGACGCTTTGGCCAGCTTTCCCGGTGTGCCATGCACTGGGCTGTCAGCACTGCTGCCACAGGAGTCCTTCTCCAGGGTCCTGGTGTTCTCTTCACTGCCCCCGGGCTCCTGACTGGAGGTGGGCTCCAGCAGCAGCTTGGATGAGGTAGGTGGCTGCTCGCTCTCCCAGGAGCTCTGCTGGGACAGCCCCGCTTTGGCCCCACTTGCATTGCTGGTGTTGCAGAAGCCCTGACCTGCTCTGGGCACGGGAGGCAGCTGCGGGAAGGAGAGTGGCTTCTTGGGCTTCCGGGCTGCCTCCTTGGGCAGTGCTGTGACTGAGTGGGTGGCTCTGAGAGGCAGTTTGGGTGATGGGAACCCAGCAGACAGTTTCGGCGGAGTGGTTCCATTCGACAGCTTCGGCCCCGTCCCGACCATGCTGCGGGCCACAGGGACTCCGACCTCCTCTGGCTCTGGCAGCTTCTTCCCCAGCAGCTTCTTCCCCGGCAGCATGTCTGGTCTCTAGACAAAGAGAAAGAGAGAAGTTCAGCTAGGAGAGAATTCAAGGAGCCAAGGACGCAGAGTGATAGTTCTCTCCCCATCCCTACACAGGAACCCTTGGCTCAGCAGGATCCCTCCTGCAAACTGTCCTTGCGCCTGCCTCCCTGCAAAGCTGCAGCCTACCTGCCCTCGCAGAGCAGACAGAGGGGCAGCAGCTCCCAGTTCCTGGGAGCATGGGCTGAGAGCAGCCTTCAGGACTCACCCGGCCCGTTGGCGGTGAAGACAGGGACCTGAAGTTCACAGTTTTCTTGACGTGATCAGAGACAATGCTGCAAGTGCGGCCAGACAGGCTGGAGGCAGCTCTGGCAATGGTCCCCTCTGAGCTCTTCCTGGGGCTGGGGATTCTGGTGAAGGCAGAGAATTGCACATGTTAACTGTGAGGGCTTGAGCGACTGGAATACTCTCGTCAAAGATGAACACAAAAAACAGGAGCCAGAAGGTCCGAGGAGGTAAGGTGCTCTTGATCTACAGCAAAACCATGACAAAAGGCTGGACCTCTCCCTGCCACCTTCCTCTGAGCCAGCGCATGTGCACAGGCATTGGGACTACTGGGGCCAAGCTCCCTCCCACACCCAGACACGTGCTACCAGCCCTGTCCCAAATGCTAAGAGCAGGGGGCAGAGGGGCCGGGAGACACAGTGCGCTCTCACCTCAGGTAGAACAGCACGTAGGCCTGCTGGTTGAGGACCACTTTGATATTGCTGCAGCGGACCACATCATCGTTCATTTGATACCACTGCCCATTACTGGCCTGCGGAAGAAGAAGAGAGAACAGGGTCGGGCTGTGCCCAGGGACCCTCCTGGCATGAAGAGCAGCAAGAACAGCACCCATCTGCAGAGCTCCTCTCCCCAAAACCCACAGGCAGCCCAGTGCAGGCAATGGGACTCTGCAAGAGCAGACCTCCATGATTCCTGTGGCAGAGCACAGCCTGTACACCCCATCCAGTGCTCCACACCACGCACATCTGCTCAGCACCCTCCTTTCTGCGCACTACAGGGACCCACAAGCACCCACCAGCCCCCAGACCAGAAAGGGTGCCAAGAGAGCACCCTGGGCTCACCTTCACATAGCAGTAATAATGCCCTGCGTGGCAGCTGTAGCCAGAGTGCACCAGCACTGCATAGAGTTCGTACATGACAGGATCCCCGTTGTTCTGAGACATGTAAGGGCGGATGTTCAAGAACTCAGGGTACCCCACGTCCTGTGGAGAGAGGATGTCTCAGGAGTCTGCACAGCAGACGGCTTTCTTGCTAGAGCAAGAGCAGCTCAGCTGTCCTACAAGTCCTATCTCTCAAGGGACAGGGACACACCATCCCCAGGCAGAGGTCACAGTGAGGAAGATGCCAAGATGAGCCAAACTGCCACTGCACTGCACAGCTGGGGAAGGGCTGCAGGACTATAGCAGAGCTCGCACTGTGCACAGGACCACCTCCCACCCTGCTCTGGGCAGCAGGACCTCGGGCCAGGAGACAGTCTCAGCTCTGGATTGCCAAGCACTCACCTTTGTGATTTTGCCTCCACCGAAGTCAGCAAAGCGCTTCAGTGAGAGCGTGAGAACATTGGAGACTCGGTGAATGGTGAAGCGTTTGCTGGCCGACACTTTCTTCTTGCATCTGCACAGGAAGAGCTCAAGCTATTCAAGCTGCTCCACCACCCAGATGATTGCCAGCCCTGGCCAAGCGGCAAACCCCACAGAAATGACCCTGCTGCCACCAGACACTGCTCCAGGATGCCTGCTCGTGGCCATGTCTGCTGGCCCAGGTCCTCCTCAGGAGAGGAGGGAGCTGAGGAATGGCAGGCTACACCACAAGCTTCCATGGCCATGTACCTCACGGTTTAGCTGTGGAGCAGATAGAGAAGCCCTCCCATATTGCAGCAGGCTTTCCACCTGCTTCCCACCAGCACACCTGCTGGCCCCTTCCCGCCTGCAGCCCCACACACTCACTTGGCACACATGTAGGCGTTCTCACCCCCCAGCATGTCTGGCTTCACAAACAGCTCCAGTGCCCGCACTATGTTTGCGGCTTGCTGCAAGGACAGAGGAGAGGTCAGGGCACAAGTGGCCTGTCCACACGACAGCCCAGCTCCCTGCTGAGACACTGGCCCCAAGAGATAACAGAGAACACGAGTAAAGGGCCACAGACTACACCAAACCCGTGAGCCTGCCACCAGCTTCGGCACTGGCCAGCATGCTGCAAGGGAGAGCTGCACTGTCCCCCAACACCACAGACCCTCAACGGAGGAGCTGTGGCTCAGGCTCAGGCAACGGGCACTGCTCTGCCAGACAGAGAAGGCAGCACAACAACAGAAGCTGCTTCCCTCTTGCCTGCACCGCGCCTTGACAATGGCAGGTTAAGGAGCCTTGAGAGCGGTAATGGTGCAGTTGCAGGAACACCCCCTGTGACAGCAGAGCTCCTCCCCATCCCCGACACTGCCACAGTACCCCAATCTCCAGTGCCAGGTCCAGGTAAGGATCATAGGTGTCCGAGACGCCCTTGCACACCGAGCACTTCACTGCAAAAGAAAGAGCAATGACCACACCCTGGCACAACACCTGCACCCGCCACCACCCCGCCACAGGCAGCTGCAGTATTCCCCCTCTCCGGGTTTGGGCTCTGGGATGTGAGCACCAGGATTCACAGCCTGGCAAGGAGGAAGGCTGGCAATTCCACTATGTGCTGGGACAGCAGGTGTTGCTAGATAGCTGGCAACACGAGTTCCTTTGCTGGTGGCAATGAGCTGGGGACCCACAACCAACAGGTTTTTTCCATCGCCACAACAGGGGTCACGACCCACAGGTACTGCAAGACTGACTAACTGCAGCTCTGGATAATTCACACATGCTTAGCAATTTTCCCAAAAGATTTTTACTGCAAGGCTCTTGAGGAAAACAGCGGCCCCGAGCATCACAGGCCCAGGACCTGGCAGCCAGCACTCACCACGGGACCGCAGGTAACCGCCAAAGATCTGGTGAATCAGCGTCGTGGCCTGGGTCTGGCGATCCAACCTATAGACAGCAGCACGGGATCTCACACCACCCCTCTGCAACAGCCACCCCTGCGGGCCACCACTGTGTCCTGAGGACAGCTCCCCTACAATGCTCTGGCCAGCTGATGGGCTGCAGAGCTCCAGGAGCAGAGGGAAGTCACAGCCTCTGCCAGTCCGCTCTCCCAGTGCCAGAGCTCAAGGGGTGGCACCAGGCTCTGAGGAATATGTTACTCTAGAAGGAGTGGAAGCTCCTGGCCAGAGCTCAGAGCTGGGCACTGCAGACAGAGCCAACACAGGCTTCCTGGGATGGAGGGCCCAGGGAAAAGCCGCTCACACACAGCCATAGGGCTCGGGCTGAACTAACAAGCACGCCTGGATTCTTCAGCAATTGGTACAGGATCCAAATGCATAGCAGTCTTAGGATTTGGGGGCAGGACCACAGCTATGCTGGGACGGAGTAATCAGAAGGGAGAAGGCAGACAACAGCCCAGAGCTGTGTCACAGAGGGGCAGAGAGTTGGGTCATCTACCTGAGGCCCCTGGAGCCAGTACCTCCCTCTATGAGTCTGACCTGGGGGACACATTCACCCCACAGTCCCCTCCCACGGGCACAGGGGACAGCAGAGAAGAGCAGCGATGGGCCATCAGAGGCCCCACATACTTGGTACAGCCATTCAAGCAGGCCTTCTGCATGGCATCAATGGTGTAACGCAGGAACTCATGTGCATCCTCCTGTCTCCCGAAGCGGATGTGCTGGGCAATCTCTGCAGGAGAGGGAGGGATCAGCCCCAGCACGTGCAGCAACAGATGTATGCTCTCCCTCCCTCCCCTGGGGCAGGGACTCTGGCGTTTGAGCCCCCTCAACCCAAACCAGATGTCAGACTCATGTCGGCCATGGGGGAAACCCCACGCAGCCCATGAAGTCACCAGCCCCCAGCAGGCTCAGTGAGTCATCTCAGAAGAGCCATCTGCCAAGATCTGCCCCGATCTCAAAGGTTCTGCCCCTGCATGAGTCACCGCTCTCCTGCATGGCTACGGGAGGGGAGGGCAGCCATCCTTACTCTTGAGGTCTCGGATGAAGGACACTGGCTTTATTGCATTGCCGCTGTTGGCAAAAGCCTGGATGGTGTGGTTCTGCATAATGCACATCATGCAAAAGCCTCCTTGTTGACCTGGAGCAGGAGAGGAGAAGACAGGACGTTGGGGACAAACCCAGGAGAGATGGAGGCAGCACAGGGGACAGGAGATTTCTGGTCCAACACAGTTCAGCCACGCTCAGTTTTCCCTACGAGCTCTGTGCTACAGTACAGCTCTGGGGCATCCCAGGTACACAGAGACCAGCACACGCCACCCCTGTTGGCACAGCCCCAGCCACTGCAACCCCCCTGAGACGAGACAGCATCCACGTGGATAGAAACCAGGTCACAGGTACTCGCTGGAGGAGCCCACAGGTTGACCCTGAGGGGCAGATCCTACGGGAGCCCTAAGGACAGGGCTGCGAGCCTTGTGTGCTTGCTTGCCTTGGTCACAGCTCGGAACAGCACCCACAGGCCAAAACAGCACCTACTGCCAGTATGCAGCCTTCTGCCCTGCCCTCACACAGTTCCCACAGGCAGGGGCTGTTTGGGACCCCCAGCTCAGCCCCCCGGAAGCCAGAAGACCGCATTTGGACCCATCTTAGTCCTGGCTATGCCCAGCAGAGACAAAGCCTCCCCAGACACAAGGACGCAGAGCTTGAGCACGCCGCTACGGCCAGGAAAAGCGAGCCGTAGGCAGGAGCAGCCTCTCGATGGAGAAACGGGCAGGAGGGAGCAGCGAAGGCGCATCCCGACACCCGCACACCCCTTGCCAGAGTCATGTGCAGAGGTGCCGAGCGTAGCGCTGGGAGCAGGACAACCAGGCGCTCCTCCTCCCCGCTGGTGCGGCCGCCCCAGCCCTGCTGCCCACCGAGCCGGACCTCCCCACTCACAGGTGCGGCTGTGCTCCTTGGAGAGCAGGTAGTTGGCAAGCGGCGGCGTGTAGGTCAGGCACTGCACTGTGGAGTTGAGGAAGCAGGTGTTCCCTAGGTTGTGCAGCCCGGCACCGACGCGGTAGATCCGCTCCCACTTCATGGAGAGGCGCTCCGCGGGGAAGAGCACCTTCTGGGGCGTGGGGATCCCATCCTCCACGCCAGCATGGTCGCCACCTTCGGGGAGAGGGGCGGTGAGCCGTGGGGGTGCGGAGCGTGGGGAGGGCTCCCCTCGTCCTCTCTACCTACCCTGCTTGCCGCGCTGTCTCTCCTCGAGGCCGCTGTGGCGGCTGGCGGTCTCGGTCCCGGCCCGGGGGTTGAGCAGCACGTACTTCCCCCGCAGCAGCTCCAGCTGGCCGGAGAAGCCGCGGCTGGCGGGCTCGAACTCGATCTTCTGCAGCAGCACCTTCTTGGCCGAGGCGGCCAGCAGCCGGCCCAGCTCCCCATCGTCGCCCGCCTCCCGCCGCCCCGACTTCAGCACCTCCCTCAGCTTCTCCACGATCTGCGGCATCGTGGGGCCCGACGGCCCCGGCTGCGGGGAGGGG